CAGAACAGTGTTCCGGAATAAGGACTTATGCCCGAGCGGGAGCAGAATAGTTTTTCCGGAATAGCAGCTGATTTTGTACAGTAGAGCATCGTTGCTTTTCCGGAAATTCAAGGGCTAGTGTAGACAGCTCGCAGCTTATTCCGGAAAAGTGGCTGATTTTCCGGAATAAGTGGCCCAGTGTAGACACAGCCTTTAAGTTTGGGTCCAGTGTAACCATCAGTTTACACACCATTTCAGCATGGGGAAGGCAGCGTCCTCAGGCTCTGCAGGGCCTCAGCTTGAAACCCACTCAGCCCTTAGATAAGACACTCGGTCAGCCTGGGTTGGCAGAGCCTTCAGGTTACATACAACCTCAGAATGTCCCAGCCTGCAGGTTAAACACACCATTCCAGGCTGGGACAGCCAGAGCCTATAGGTTGCAGCTGTGGCCAGCTGGGAATCCCCTCTCTATAGGGGGAATGTGTGATGTAGTGGCATGGCCAAAAGAAAGTCAGTCAAACTAAACTATGGAGTCATTTCAACCATGCTATTTCCAGGTCCGGGAATGGCCCAATGAATCCATTGGCAGGATGCACTTAGAGCAGCCCTGAGGTTATTCTCATAAGATGGAATTTAACATGCCTCCTTTAGCACAGCTCAGCTAAAACCGCCATGTCAGCATGGAAGCCCCAAGTTTTATACAGCATGTTCTGCAGACCCGCATTTGGTTGAAAACATGCTGTCAGCATGAGACAGGCAGCCATCCAGGTGTAACCGCACACATGACAGCTTATCAGGGCGACACAAGTGTTGCCCTCGGTTAAGTCACACCTCATCATAGGAGATAGTGGAGCCCTGTGGTTACAGGGCCTGCCTCCGCATGGGACAGATGCGACCATCAGGTTTTAAGGCTCTCAAATTATTCCAACCCTCTCAGCATGAGACAGAAAGCCCTCGGTTGTATACACCCTCTCAATGAGACACTAGGAGTCTTCAGGCTATACACATCCTCTCAACGTCAGGCGACAGGGCTCTTATAGCCATCTATGAATATAGTTTGCAGGTGCTAATAGGAGGTCTTTTTCATCCGGTTGTGGGCTGGCTAAATGTTCTTTCCTCTATTATGGCCTCCATGCACTTGTCAGTGGTGACAGGAAACTTAGATTGGCAGTTAGATTGGTATCTCTCCCACTAAGCATTATGAGTGTATTTTCCCCTTGGGAAAATAACTGCCTGCAATTAATTCCCCAAGGAAGCTCACACGTGCCATCCAGAGTGCTTATATTACATGATTTAGGAGAAATCAATTTATCTAAGAGTAAAGAGCCCACTGAAGGCAGCATAGGATGAGGTAGGGAAGAGTGGGATGGGTATTTCTGCAGAGACTTTCATTTTAAAAGAAATCCCCAACAGCCACAGACATTATCCAAGGAAGGAAAATCAGAGCTGGGAGAACTTTAAGCAACTAATAATCTCACATGCAGAAATCAGTTACCAAAAGAAATAAGAGCCAGACCTTTAGCTAGCATAAATCAGCATCTCTTCGTTACAGCCAGCAGCTCTACAAGTTACATCAACTGGCAGCCTGCCTGAAAAGCCCTTTTAAGCAGGAAAAATGCTTCTCTCTTTCTGTGCTGGCATTTAAAGGTACAAACGTGTCTTTCAAGTTTTGCAGCATCTGCATCATGCGGCATAATTAAGTTATTCTAAATGAGGTCTGAGACATTTTAATATCCTGAAGCCATAAAATCTCAGGTTGATGTTCATTCCTCTCTCTCTGTCTTTTCCCCTCTCCCACTTCACTTTCTAAATGAGGTCTGAGACATTTTAATATCCTGAAGCCATAAAATCTCAGGTTGATGTTCATTCCCCTCTCCCACTTCACCTCTCTGGTTCCCAGCATGACAGACAACCATGCTGGTTGGCTACAATTGCTGAAACAGTTCCCTAATGCTTGCTTCCTCTCCAGTTGTATTAAACTGCATCTTTATAGATACAATCCTGTTTATTCATGCTGCTCATGTGGAAGAGGAAAGAAATGCAGACTCTCTTCCTCCTCCCCCTCCTCCTTCTGCCTTTCATTTCATGGGTGTGGCAGGGTTCAAACCTTTGCAGTCTCCCTCAGGCACAAGTGTGAGGAACGGAGGACTGTACTGGAGGGAAAGCTATAAAACATGTCTGGCAATGAATGAAAATCATTTCACCCACAAGTGAGAAACCGGCTTCTGAGTTATCATTGAATCACTCTTGCAATCTAGTAGTGAGCACTTGCCCTGGTAATAGCTATTCATTCTAATGTAGGTATATGGAATACTCTTCTATTGATCTATCTATGCATGCTATGCTAACAAAAGCTCCAGCAAATAGCACAGTATGTTTCCAAATAGTATTAAATAAACTTTAAGGCATACTTGCAAGGTTCTTCAGCCCAGCCTCTCATTTTGCATCAGTTTAGCTCAAACATGTTGTGGGTATAAATTCACAGGTGCAATCATTTGGTGCAGATGAAAGAATTTACACATTAAGATTTCTCATTTGCAGGTGCAGCCAGTCAGCTACTTAGTGCTTTATGCTGCCATTTCCAGCCACAAATATATATGTACATGTGCACACACTTTCTCTACCGGTGTGTATGTACATATACACACTTACTCCTGTAATTTTTTATATATTTAAAGAAATTTCTCTGAATGTGTATTTCTAATTTCAGCACATTGCTCTTTTACAATCAGAAAGGCAGGGTGATGGGAGCTTTCCCAGAAAAATGCCCTGAGAGAGGAAAGCTATCTTTATTTGGGAAGGAAACTCTTGTTTCCTTATGAAGAACTGATCTGATGCCTTTCCATTTGTGAAAGGTTGAGGTGGGAGAGAAAAAAGCAGGCTTAAAACCCAGAGGCTTGGGGTTTTTTTAGCTCCAAATTAAAGCTTCTTGCAGTGTATCATCACTTCTGCTCTCTGAAGTTTTTCATAGTCAATGTAGCAATTTTTGTGTGTGAATATATATGAATGCATGTATGGGTGTAGGCGTATGAATGGGTGTGTCTGGCTGAGTGAATGTGTGCAGTTGTGCTGAGGCTGGATGTATGTGTGAAGGCAGGGAGGGGAATGAAGGGGTGTGTCTGGGTAGGTAACTGATCTAGGAATCTGTATATGATCATTTATAAATATGATGTAGCAATAATAAAATGGTCAGGAATGATATATATAGATTAAAAGAATGGGTAGAACTGGCTATTAAACAATGTGTGTTAAAAGCCCAGCCTATTAAAGTATGGTGAAAAATACCCTGTGTGGGTCTTTCCAGCCTATTGCCTCAAAAAAAAAAAAAAAAAAAAAAAAAAAAACCCAACAACCAACCAACCAGACTACTATTAAAAAAAAAAAAAAACCCCAACAACCAACCAACCAGACTGCTATTATATTTTAAAATTTGCTGTGCTTCTCCACCCACTGCTCTGTCATTCTGCCTTCCTTCTCCTCTCTTTTCATCCCACATTGGCCAACTAAATGTGCTCTGCTGGCTGATTGCAATGTGTTCACTATCCCATCCTTTTCCAGGTTTTAATAACTGTATCATTAATTGTAGAGCATCTGAAACTTGCATAGGGAAAAATATAAAATGCTGGATTTCTTTCTATCCCATTCACCTGCCCCATCCTATTATTCTACAATATGAATCCTGGGTTTGGGAACACCCACGAGGTGCACAAATGCACCTTTACTTTGATTTTAATTAAATACTACAGTATTCTAAAGTAATTGTCCAAATCTCTACAGCTTCCAGCTGTGGGTTGGGCTGTCACTAAAGAATATTGCAGTAATATACACTGTAAGGCACCTAGAATGCAGGTCCACTTGCGGCTCTGTAGTTACACGACTGAGATGAGATTTGCCCTTAAAGCTGGAATCCCACCCCTTTGATATTATCCATATAAATAAAGTTCTCATAATGCCTTTTAAATGCACCAAGGTACAAATCTGAAGTCAAAGGAGTTAAACCAAGGTAACTGAGAGATTTTGGCTTTCAAGTGAACAGTTTGAAATGGAAAGGGCATGGCTGAGGGGGAAATGAGCTAACTAGCTTTTCTAATTCATTATTATTTTGGGCTTGTCATTTTTTATAGTTAAAAATTAGCCGTATCCTAGCCATTCTTGCGACCCTCTACAAGGAATGCTAGGAGGTACCAGTAGAGAGAACAAACTGGTTTCCAACAGGTTCATACTGTCTCTCGCATCCCATCGGAGCTCAGAGCTAATAGAGGCGTGGTCCTCTGTCTCTTTACCAGCTGGTGCACAGTTGTCTAACTGGTCGTACTATGAAAGGGATTGTAAAGAGGGCTGGGTTTTTTTCTGCTGACTTCATGGCCAATTAGTTTTGCTATTAATTAATTGCACTTGATATTATTAAAACAAAGAAAAGCAAAGAAAGAAATTACCAATTGTATTTTTGCTCACACTATTTTAACCACACTGAAAAGAAAAAAATGCATCTGTCCCCCTTGCCATCTCAAAGCACATGCCCAGATAACAGCTTTCATCTGTCAGAGCAAAGAGCAATAGAGAGCCAGCATCCTGATCATGGATCAGGGTTCACCAAGAATCTTTTTATATTTATTTATTTTGGCATAAAATGAAGAATTGCTTCCCCCATCTTTGAGGTAGAACCACCTCTCATCACATTTCCCTCCTCCCCCTTCCACATCCACACCCTCAGAATCAGAGACAGAAAACCCTATGCAATGCATCTGCCCACAGTTTAAAAAAAGGGAGGGGGATCCTTGTTTTTCCCCAAACATGAAGATAGGCCACCCTCTCCCCACATCACCAGCTGCAGAAAGACAAACAGGCATCAGGAAGGGTGTGAAAAGAACCTTCAGTTGCAAGATGCTAAAGAATTGCAAAGAAGACATCTGCTTAGATGCAGTTAAAAATTCCTCCCCCCGCCCCTTATACACACACACACACCCCCCAACAGCCTGAGAATCTCTCCACAGAAAGAAATATAAAATTTTCAGATCTACCTGTTTTGTTCTTCTCATACAGCACAGCATGATTGTATTGTCCCCTTCCTTCCTTCTTCTTCCTTCCTTCTCCTCTCTTCTTTTTCCTCCTCTCTCTCTTATCTCTCCCCCCCACCCTCTCCACTCCCTCCCTCCCTTTCTCTCTCACTCACACACACACATACACACACATATACACACACACACACACACACCAGGGCAGTTAGCTGCAACTGTAAGGTCCACAGCTATTGCTCATCACACATGCACACTCTGGCTGTCTCTCTCTTTCTCTCCCCCTCCCTGCCTTCCTCTCTCTCTGTATCTTTCCCAGAATTGTTCACTAGCTCTCAATGACTAGTCACCTCCCCACCCCACCCCCCCCTGCAATCCAGGCAGCCACCCCCTCCCAGTCCCCTGCCAGACTCATGAATATTTAAACATCTCCAATCTGGACCCAATTACCCAACGACTTTCCCACTGTACTGAGACAAGCAGGAAAGGGAACATTACAGATTGCTGAGGGGGTGGGGTGAGGTGTGTCTGCGGGGGCTTGGGAAAGGGGAGTGGATGAGGGCTTACATTTTTCTGACACTCTTTTCCCATTCACACGGGAGTAGTTAAGCAGAGAGCACAGGGCCCCAGCCAAGGAAGGATTTGTGTGTTAAGAAAGCTAGTGGAGTTATTTCCACAGCATTTCCTGCACGGATGACAAGCTGTAGGTGGGAGCTGTGGTACCTGGAGAATAACAATATATGTTCAAATGTCTGTGGATCGTCTCCCCTCCCCCTCACATGCACACTCTAAAAAAGATAGGCACTTCCACATATGAGCAGATATGCACCTATACCTGCATACATGCCCCAAATGGAAAGGTCCTATGAACTGTAATGGAACATAACTTTTCTGTAGGTTTCTGTGGAACTAAATAGAAAATTAAATTCCTGTCATATACTTAGAGAGGACGGTTTTAGAAGCCACCTATAGAAAGGATGGTGTTCTCTATTGTCTTTCTCTATTGATTTTTAAAATCATTTCTATAGAATCACATTGATTGTTTTTTTTTAATTAATGTCTATACAACTTCCCAATAAGGACACAGGCACAATCACAAATTCACAAACAATAATATACACACAAATGCACCCAAATATAAACCTATCAGATGTTATAACATTGTGCTTTCTCTGAATTTATAGCAAACTGACAATGTCTGATAATATAGAAAAGATAATCTAGGCAATGTATGGAATTCTGCCAAAATATGACAGTGATGAACACGCTAGAAAAGAAAAGATAGATATAATCTTACTAACAAAATTTGGATTAACCCTCTTATTTACTAAGAGACAAACTCCAATCTCTGTTACACCAGTGTAAATCAGGCAGTAACATCACTGAAGTCTGCTTCTGAGCTACTATACTGTTCCGATTCGGATTTGTTGTAAACCATTTTAAAAGCAGAACGTAGCCCCCAAAATTATTAAGGCCTTTGCTTTTTAAATATATGTAAGATGTGGTTACTGGAATATCCTCAGAGCACATTCCCTCATAGTCATTTCAGTTGCTATGACATCACTGTAGTTCCCAGTAGGGCTTTATTGGAAAAAGGAAAGTAAATAGAAAGATTTTGTTTGAAAGCCTATCTGTCTATGTCAGTGTATGTCATTTAGGGGAACTTCCTCGCATGGTACAACTGGAGCAGTGTTAGGTTTGATTTGTGTTCTGGACATATAGCATCATAATGAAATTCACAGACAATACTTTACTGAAAAGAGTTGCAAATACTACCTGACACAGAGGAACAATACATATAGACCAAGGCTGTGTCTACACTGGCATCCCTTTGGAATAGGCAAGTCCGCGGGGGATTTAAATATCCCCTGCGGTATTTGCATTAACATGGCTGCCGCTTTTGATAAGCCGGAGAAAAGCGCCAGTCTAGACGCTTTTCTGGAGGATCTCTTATTCCTACTTGAGAGTAGGAACCCTACTTTAAAAGTGTTTAGGTGCCTAATTCCTCTTGGGGGTTTAAATGACTTTAAAAATCTGGTCTCATTGAAAGTCAAAAGGACTTGGGTTCTAAGTCTCTTAGGCACATCTGAACATTATCATCTTTAGGCACATAGGAACCAAAGTTTCTAGGCTCTCTAGAGGAGTGACTGGATTAAATTTAAGGCCTCTGAGGTACCAAATGTCAGCCTAGATGATCTAATGGTCCCTTCTGGCCATACACTTTATCAATCTTTTCTGATAAAATGAAGCGAGTTTACAAAGAGGAACAAAAATTGGGGGGAGGGACTGGTAGGTTGGGGTGAGTGATGAAGAAAAATGTAAAAAGCTAAATCTGTGAAGTTTGACCAAATGACAGGTAAGGGGATGGAAGAGCATGACAAAAACACAAGGCCCAAAGACAGAGAAAAATTATTCAATGTGACACCTAACTCTTTCTTTAGTGTGTGTCTCATGTTCACCTCTAAGTGGTCCAGAAAGTACATGACTATTGCATCTAATACCTACTAGAATTACTCCTTTAATTCAGGTGGAAAAGCTCCATGCTTTTAAGGGCCCAGGTTCAGACCCCAGCGATGATATATTGGTGGTTTTCACATGATACTCTGAGGCCTGGTCTACAGTAGGACTTTAAATCGCCCCATACAGTTGAATTTCTAAGTGACGCATCCACACTACCAATCCTGTTGTACTGCCCTTAGAGGTCTCTGATGTCAATTTCTGTACACCTGTTTTTCACCAGGAGTAAAGCTATTCCCGACCTTGCATAGTCGAAGTAACACTAGTATAGGTACAGTGTTGCTGGAAATTCAGTACTATTGGCCTCCAGGAGGCCTCCTGCAGCTGTCCCTTCTGACCATTCTGGCCACAACTTCCATCTCTACTGCTCTCTTGCTGAGCTCAAAAAAGCCCTGGGAACAGTAAAATGGCCTGTCCCACATGGCCAGCATTGCAAGTGAGCAGCACATCATGACAAATGAGGAGATGAGTTCCAACATTCTGTTGGACACTCTGACAGCTGTGAGCGCTTCTGCTTCATTGGCCTCCACTTCCCAGGGGTGCAGAAGAGCACCAGCCTGGAGCACCCAGGAAATCTTGAACCTCATCAAGGTTTGGGGAGATGAAGCCCTCCTGCACAAGCTCAGGATCAGCAAGCAGAATGCCGACACCTATGGCAGGATTGCAACCTGTCTAGCAGTGAAAGGCTATTCCAGGGATGCCCAGCAGTGCAGGGTAAAAATTAAGGAGCACAGGCAGTCATATCAGAAAATGAAGAAGGAGAGCAGACGTTGTGTGGTAACACCACACACCAGCTGCTATTATGACCAGCTGGATGCCACACTTGGTGAGTGTGTGGGGGGGGGGGGGGAACAGCTCCCCCTGCATGGTCATCGAGTCCAGACAAGACACACCTGGTATCAGCCTGCAGGAGAGCAGGGTGTCGGAGGGGTCAGAGAAGGAGGAGACAAGTCAGAGCCGACGCCTGAGAGCCAGGAACTCGTCATGATGGTGAAGACAGTCTCCCCACCCAAGACATCTCCCAGCCCATCAACAACCCGAGTGAAGGCACTTCTCATGAGTTCAAAACATTTTCCTAACTACAAATATGTTCAGACAATGGGGAGTGTGGTGCAGCTTAGGGATGTAAGAAAGTAGTTGATTAGTCAACTACTAATCAAGTCGACTACTCACATGTCCCCCTTTCCACTGCCGCTTCTATATCAGAGGCAACCAATGGGGCGGGGTAGGGGACAAAGCAAGAGCAGGTACTGGAGGGACCCGGCTTAAAAACCAGTTCACCACTCGAAACCATCTCCACAGTGGGGGTGGCAGGGGAGGCAGAGGCAAAACAGGTCCCAAATGAAAGCCAATGACACGCTGACCATAACAATCATTCTGAAATGTATGTAAGGGTGCTATGTATGGGGTATCTGTGCATCTGTACCAGAAAGTTATGCTCCTAAATATATAAAGTTAAAAGCAGGTCACTAAAAGAAAGTGACATGCTGTAGACTAGATGCACCAGACTAGGGATAGGAGATGTTTCTGTCTTTCTGCATCAGGATGTAAATTAAGTACTGTACGTTAACACAATAGATGCCTATTTATATACCAAGTCAAATGTGAACAAAGTGATGTGAAATCAATAGGAAAGGAGCACGCAGGAAAAAAAAAGCCACAGGGGCTTGTGCTGTCTCTGAGTAAAGGTAATTCACTTTGGGGATATTTCTAGAAAGAAAATAAAATACCCTTGCACCCTGTTCCGAGGCAGTAAACATATAGTACATTCATATTAATGAAAGCCAGATCTCAGCCAACTTGAGATGAAAATGCTGAAGAGAACTTTGAGTGAGACAAAATTTCTTTAGACAGGAAGTTAACCTGTTAAGTTTACTCTCTAGAAGGCATGTTATTTGATTTTGTCTCATATGTAACCATTTGTTTCCAATATTCTTACTTGTTCCTGGGTTCAATATAAATATACCTTAGTGCTGTGATGTTACCATAGTGCTGGTCCTAAGCAGAATCTTATAAGCTAGTGTATACTGTTCCTTTGGGAAAAGCTGACCTGGTAATTCTCTGAGGCTATGTATACCCTACCAGATTATTTTGAAATAAGCTTATTTCAAAGTATTAACTCCCAAAATAACTATTTTGAAATAAGCTTATTCATCTTCACAAGCAGGGGTTATTATTTCGAAAGAACAGGCTTGATATTTTGAAATAACAAGGTGAGCATCCACACTAAGAAGAGTTATTTCTAAAGAACTCGCCAATGTAGACATGCCCTGAGCATCCAGTGGATCACAAGCTTGGAGGTTGATGCGTGCCTATTACCAACTATACAGAAAGCAAGCTTCAGTTGGTCTGTAAAGGATAAACTCTCCCTTCTCCCCTATTTATTTTGGGTCTGCACATCCTAAACTCAAAACTCCTGTCATCTGAAGAAGTGGGCCAAATAAATAGTCTACATGTAGTCTACATTTTTTGTTAGTCTATAAAGTGCTACCAGACCATTTGTTGTTTTTTAAGTTTATACAGAAAGCATGAGACGTGCAGATACAGGCAGTCCCCGAGTTACGCGGATCCGACTTATGTCGGATCCGCACTTACGAACGGGGCTTTCTCGCCCCGGAGCTCGCGGGCAGCGGGACCGCCCAGAGCGCAGCGGTCCCGCCACCTCGACCTCCGGGGCGAGAAAAGCTGCTCCGGGTGCCCCTGGTCTGCTGGGGACCGTCTTCAGCAGACCAGGGACACCTGGAGCAAAGCCGGGGAGGCGGAGGGGTCCCGCGCCTCTGAGGCTTTGCTCTGGCAAAGCCGGGGAGGC